CTATAGACTAGACTATAGACTAGACTATAGACTAGACTATAGACTAGACTATAGACTAGACTATAGACTAGACTATAGACTAGACTATAGACTAGACTATAGACTAGACTATAGACTAGACTATAGACTAGACTATAGACTAGACTATAGACTAGACTATAGACTAGACTATAGACTAGACTATAGACTAGACTATAGACTAGACTATAGACTAGACTATAGACTAGACTATAGACTAGACTATAGACTAGACTATAGACTAGACTATAGACTAGACTATAGACTAGACTATAGACTAGACTATAGACTAGACTATAGACTAGACTATAGACTAGACTATAGACTAGACTATAGACTATAGACTAGACTATAGACTAGACTATAGACTAGACTATAGACTAGACTATAGACTAGACTATAGACTAGACTATAGACTAGACTATAGACTAGACTATAGACTAGACTATAGACTAGACTATAGACTAGACTATAGACTAGACTATAGACTAGACTATAGACTAGACTATAGACTAGACTATAGACTAGACTATAGACTAGACTATAGACTAGACTATAGACTAGACTATAGACTAGACTATAGACTAGACTATAGACTAGACTATAGACTAGACTATAGACTAGACTATAGACTAGACTATAGACTAGACTATAGACTAGACTATAGACTAGACTATAGACTAGACTATAGACTAGACTATAGACTAGACTATAGACTAGACTATAGACTAGACTATAGACTAGACTATAGACTAGACTATAGACTAGATAGTCTATAGTTTAGTCTGCTATCCAGTCTGTAGTCCGGTTTACAGTCTTGTCTATTGTCTAATGGAAATTGAATTTAGTACTTAAAAACCTAAACGGTGCTATTTTTGTTGTTGTTGTATTTAGAAGTTTCAATTTTCCATCCCTGTTTAAAGCAAAAAGGTGTGTTGTAAGTTCTTAATAACAAACTATTTATAATCTCATTTCATTTCCAATTTAAACTTCTCGATTCAAACAGACATATTTCATCTTAAATTTTATAATTCCTCTATTTAAAAAAAATGTCAAGTTTATTGTCATATTTAAATTGTTTAAATTTTTTTTTTTTGTCATAATTAATTACAATTGATAATTGAACAATTGTCCAAACAAATAATTTCAATTAGCAGCAAATATAATTTGTCACTTTTGAATGCGTGCTTAAATTGTTATTGAACGGAGATGCTAGTTTTCAATTAAGATTGAAGGATTTTGATAAAACAAAAAATAAAATTTCAATAAACTTTCAATCACACGGTATAAAATTGAGGTTAATTAAATTGCTGCAAAAAAAATTTCAGCCGCCATTTCAATTAGAAAACTTATAAAGTTCAATAAAATGTTAATTAGATATTGTAGAGAAATCAAATTTGCAGGAAAAGCTTTCACAGTTAGTCGAAAATAGTAACAACGAGCTTTTGAAAGCTTTAAGGTATCTAAAAAATGTATACTGGACTTAAAAGCTTTTTCTTAACCATTTTAAACTTTGAAAAGCAAATTGAGAATTCTATAGAATTTGTTTAATTCCAAATTTCAAACTTCTTTACATATAAATCTAATCAAAACTTGGGGAATTTATAATTCAAATGTTAAGCTTTTAGAATTGCTTTTATATAAGTCTAAAGCTTTAACTATAAGTGAGTTACAGTGTGCTAAAGTTTAACACTTAGGAAAACCAAATCCTTAAATTAAAGAAAAGTTTAAGGGAATTTGTTTAAACATAATATCTAAACAACATCTTCAATCCTAATAAAACTTTAAGTAGATAAAGAGTTGAGCTTTCAGAATACTAATAGGTATAGGCTAAAGTTCCAGTAACAGCAGAGCTACAGTGGGCTAAACATAAACACTTTTGCCAGGAAAAACTTTTTCTTAAAATTTATAAATTCTTTAGTATTTCTTTAAGTATAAAATTTAAGCTTCGAAAAGTAATAGAGAAGAACTTAAGCTTTCAGAATAGTAGCTAAAAAATTCAGATATTCTAGCTTAGAGAAATCTGCAGTAAAACAAACATAAACATTTTTGAATTTATAGAGAAACTTTTAATATTTATGTTAAAAATAGTTTTGAATATTTAAACTATTTTTTTTTTTTGTTTAAATATAAAAGAATAATAAGCTTTTAATATGGTATTTAAATAAAAATTATTATAAACAAACCCATAAATGGCAACACAGGAACTACTTGAGTTTGAGTTTACCTTGATTTAAATTTTTTATGGGTTAGTGTTGGGAAGTTTAAATTGAATAACTTATTTTTATAAAAAATTTGAAACAAAACATTATTAAAAATATTATTGAATAACAATTAGTTTTATAAACAATTTAGTAAACAAAACTATGTTAATGCACAAAAAGCTTATACTGTTTAATATTTTAAAAAAGTTCTAAAATTCTTAAATTCTTTTATAATATCAAATTTTCTTAAAAAACTTTGTTCAAAAATTGTAAGATTTTCACATAGAAAACTTATTAATAGAGGTTCCAATATCAATTCTGTAAAATTTTAAAAGTTTTGAATAGATATTGTCAAAATTTTTCAAACAATTTTCTGCAGAGTGATAAAGTTTGAGACTATTTATTAGCTACTAAGAACAGATAAGTTATACATATTATATATCAATGGAAAGCTAATGATAACAGCTTTCCATTAATATATATATATATGTATGCTAAATTTAATACGTATTTCTTTAAATTAACAAATAATAAGAAAATCTTTGCAATTGTAATTTTCGAGTAAAACCCTAAATTGGTGTTCATTTTTAAAGTTATTTGGTGCAATAACAATAAGTATTTTATATCAAATGAAAGGTTATAGTGTCTACTTTTCGAAAATGTTAATTTTATATCAATATTTCGACATATTTTGTTATTAATTTAAAAAAATCTTGTAAAGGTATTAATTGCAGTTTTACTGTGCAATGTAAAATTGAAGGCCATTTTTAAGACATATTGGATCGAAAAAGTATAATTATTTTATACCAAATGGAAGGTCATGGTATCTACTTTTCAAAAATATAAATTTTATTTAAAAATGTCAATATGTTGTTGTTTTACTTTTAAAAAGAGACAAAAGTTTTTAAGAAAAGTTATCTACTAAAGTTTTACAGTGCAATGCAAAATTGACACGCGTTTTTAAGTTATATTGGAATGAAATGTTATAAGTATTTTATATCAAATGAAAGGTCATAGTGTCTACTTTTTGAAAATGTTAACTTTATATCAAAATTTTAATATGTTTTGTTATTAATTTAAAAAAAAAAAAATCATGTAGTTATTAATTGCAGTTTTACAGTGCTATGTAAAATTGACGGCCATTTTTAAGACATATTGTATCGAAAAAGTATATGTATTTTATATCAAATGAAAGGTCATGGTATATACTTTTCAAAAATATAAATTTTATTTAAAAATGTCAATATGTTGTTGTTTTATTTTTAAAAAGAGACAAAAGTTTTTAAGAAAAGTTATCTACTAAAGTTTTACAGTGCAATGCAAAATTGACACGCATTTTTAAGTTATATTGGTATGAAAAGTTATAAGTATTTTATATCAAATGAAAGGTCATAGTGTCTACTTTTTGAAAATGTTAATTTTATTTCAAAATTTTAATATATTTTGTTATTAATTCTAAAAAAAATTTGTAAAGTTATTAATTGCAGTTTTACAGTGTTATGTTAAATTGACGGCCATTTTAAAGACATATTGGATAGAAAAAGTATAATTATTTTATATCAAATGAAAGGTCATGGTATCTACTTTTCAAAAATATAAATTTTATTTAAAAATATCAATATGTTGTTGTTTTATTTTTAAAAAGAGACAAGAGTTTTTAACAAAAATTATCTACTAAAGTTTTACAGTGCAATGCAAAATTGACACGCGTTTTTAAGTGATATTGGAATGAAAAGTTATAAGTATTTTATATCAAATGAAAGGTTATAGTGCCTATATTTCAAAAATGTTAATTTTATATCAAAATTTTAATATATTTTATTATTAATTCTAAAAAAATCTTGTAAAGTTATTAATTGCAGTTTTACAGTGTTATGTAAAATTGACGGCCATTTTTAAGACATATTGTATCGAAAAAGTATAAGTATTTTGTATCAAATGAAAGGTCTTAATATCTTCTTTTCAAAAATATAAATTTTATTTAAAAATGTCAATATGTTGTTGTTTAATTTTTAAAAAGTATCAACAAAAGTTAAAAAACATTAAGAAAATTTAACTACTGCAGTTTTACAGTGCAATGTAAATTTGACAACCATTTTTAAAACATAGTGGATTGAAAAGTTTTAAGTATTTTATATCAAATGAAAGGTCATGGTGTCTACTTTTTATAAATGTCAATTTTATATCAAAATGTTAATATGTTTTGTTATTAATTTTAAAAAAATCATGTAGAATTATGAATTGCAGTTTTACAACGCTATGTAAAATTGACGGCCATTTTTAAGACATATTCTATCGGAAAGGTATAAGTATTTTATATCAAATGAAAGGTCATAGTGTCTACTTTTCATAAATATAAACTTTATTTAAAAATTTCAATAGGTTGTTGTTTAATTTTTAAAAAATTATCAAGAAAACTTAAAAACACTTAAGAAAAGTTATCAATTGCAGTTTTACAGTGCAATGTAAAATTTGCCGTCCATTTGTATTGAAAAGATATAAGTATTTTATATCACAAGATAGGTCACTCTGTCTGCTTTTTAAAAATGTTAAATTTATTTCATTTTTTTATTAAAATTAATTTTTACAATATTTTCAAAATTTCAAATTAAATTTCATCTTAAATTTAAAACTTTTTCCACCATTTTTTTATTAAAAAGTCTAATAATTTCAATATTTCTATAGATATTTTTTTTTTTCAAAATCTTATTATTTAAAGTACATTTTCTTAAAATTTTATTATTTTCAAGTTTTTCTTTAATTTTCTCTTTCACTCACTTGTTTTGTAATAAATCTCTCAATTAAATTTTATTCCATTAAAAATTTTCTTTTTACACAATTTAGGATAAGGATCCTTATAACAGTTTCACATACAGAAACTGCAGGATATTTATTTAACACTAATACCAACGCACCGGGAATGGTATTTTAATAATATTTATAATTCTTTAAACGTGCGTACGCGATCAGAGCAAAAGCTCAACTAATACAATGCAGCATAAATGCGATCGTAATATAAATGAAAATTTTGTCTCAAAATAAATCGAATACAACAACTAAATTCAAACCAATAAACAAAAACACAAACACATAGATTCTCACCCACCAACTAAAAGAGAATTCTACTTAAAGATCATCATGTAGTACTTACTCTCCTCAGCAAGATCAATTCAGAGACATCTTTATTATTGTATAAACAATTAATTCTAGTGATAATACAAATCTAGCTATAAAGATCCATAGCAAGTTTTAAATAAAACAACTGAGAGTGATCGTTTAAGCTTTAATTCTCTGCATTATCAGTTAAGTTTGTAAATTGTTGTTTACCGGTTATCAGTTCTTTAGTAAATTTTTTGTTCTCAACTTGAATTTCATTCAGTAGTAATGATTGTGTTGTACTTTTGACCAATAAATTCTGAGAATAATTTTGTTTTCTTAATTTTTTTTTTTAAATATTTTTTTTTAAAAAGTGTGCAAAAACTGTGTTTTTATTTAAATTGATAATGCTTGATTGAGTCTTATAATTGCGGTTGGTTTATTTTGCTAAATAGCCGACCTTGTACAATTTTTTTTTCAGAATTTATTAAGGGTTTTTTTTTTAGACGTGAGAATTTTGGTTTAATAAAAAATAAACTTATTTTTTTATTTTTAATTTTTGAGATTAATAAGAAAACTAAAAAATTTTGTCTTAAATTTCCTAGGAAAACCACAAAAACGGATTTTACTATTTTTAAAGAATATTTTTTTTTAACAAAATGTTAAAGGGAAATCACCTCTTGTCTAAAATTCGAATCTCAGTTATAACACAACTGTAAGGATGATGACCTTTTTGGAGTTTTAAACTTAATTTATAGTCGATACTCTGCAATATAAAATAGTCTGAACTATAGAAGTCTATGGTTAAATTTAAAGAATAGTCTATAGTCTGGACTAGAGAAAAGTCTATATACTAGACTATAGAATGGACTATAGATTAGTCTAAAGTGTGGACTATAGATTAGTCTATAGTCGGCACTATAGACTAGTCTATAGTACCGACTATACCGACGGGACTATAGAATAGTCTATAGTCTGGACTATAGAATAGTCTATAGTCTGGACTATAGAATAGTCTATAGTCTGGACTATAGAATAGTCTACAGTCTGGACTATAGAATACTCTATAGTCTGGACTATAGAATACTCTATAGTCTGGACTATAGAATACTCTATAGTCTGGACTATAAAATACTCTATAGTCTGGACTATAGAATACTCTATAGTCTGGACTGTAGAATACTCTATAGTTTGGACTATAGAATACTCTATAGTCTGGACTATAGAATACTCTATAGTCTGGACTATAGAATACTCTATAGTCTGGACTATAGAATAGTCTATAGTCTGGACTATAGAATAGTCTATAGTCTGAACTGTAGAATAGTCTATAGTCTGGACTATAGAATAGTATATAGTCTGGACTATAGTCTAGTCCATAGTATGGACTATAGTCTAATCTATAGTCTGGACTATAGTCTAGTCTATAGTCTGGACTATAGTCTAGTCAATAGCTTGGACTATAGTGTAGTCTATAGTCTAGTCTATAGTCTTGACTTTATTTTAATCTATAGTCTGGACTGTAGTCTAGTCTATAGTTTGGACTATAGCCTAGGGTATAGTCTGAACTATGGTCTAGTCTATAGTCTGGACTAAAGAATAGTCTATAGTTTGGACTATAGAATAGTCTATAGTGTGGACTATAGAATCGTCTATAGTCTGGACTATAGAATAGTCTTAAGTCTGGACTCTAGAATTCTCTATAATCCGAACTGTAGAATAATCTATAGTGTGGACTATAGAATAGTCTATAGTCTGGACTATAGAATAGAATAGTCTAGAATAGTCTCTAGTCTAGACTTAAGAATAGTCTAAAGTCTTGACTAAAGAATAGTCTAAAGTCTGGACTTTAACTTATCATATAGTCTGGACTGTAGTCTAGTCTATAGTATGGACTATACTCGTGTCTATAGTCTGGACTGTAGTCTAATATGTAGACTGGACTATAGTCAAATCTATAGTATAGGCTATTGTCAAGTGTACAGTCTGGACTATAATCAAAACTATATTCTGGACTATAGTCAAGTCTATAGTCTGGTCTATAGTCTGAACTATAATCTAGTCTATAGTTTCATCTATAGTCTACACTATAATGTAGTCTAAAGACTTTACTATAGTCTAGTCTTCAGTCTGTTCTATATTCTACTTTACTCTATAGTCTGTACTATATTCTAGGCCATATTCTGGCCTATAGCTTAATCTATAGTTTTGACTATATTCTGGGCTATAGTCTAGTCTATATTCTAAACTATTGTCCAGTCTATATTCTAACCTGTTGTCTAGTTTATAGTCTAAAATAGAGTCTAGTCTAAAGTGTAGTCCAGTCTATAGTTTAAACTATAGTCTACACTATATGCTAGTCTATAGTATGGACTATGGTCTAGTGTATAATTTAGTATATAGTCTGGATTTTAGTTTAAACTATAGTCTAAACTATATTCTAAACTATAGTCGAACCGATGGCCTGTACAATAGTGTGGACTATTATCTAGTCTACAGTCTGCAGTATATTTTAGTCTATAGTCCAGCCTAGTTTTTAGTCTTAACTATAGTATAGTCTTTAGTCTGAACTGCATTCTGGGCTAGTTTATTCTAGATTCTGGACTATAGTGTAGTCTTTTGTCTCAACCATTGTCTGTTGTGCAGTCGTTATGATTTCAGTTTTATAAAGATCGTTTTATTTTTTTAAAAAACTACTTATTTATTTAAGTAATTATTTTAACATCTGTTTACTTATAGTGTAATCTAGCGTAAATACCCATTAAGTGATTTAAATAATTGCTTTAAAAAGTTGCCGATCAATAATTTCAATTATAATTTTTTTCTAATTCAATAAAAACAACATTAGATTTGAAAGAATATTAGCATAAATTATTATGATATTGACACTTATAGTAAAAATTACTTTTTACCACAAATATATAAAATATTAAATAAGAAGAAAATTAAATATTGGAACATATATATTGGGCTTATTAAAGAAATTTATAGCTTTTAGCAAAATTTTCGGAAATTTTAAGGCAAACCGGGGAATTTTGTGTAATATTCAAATTTGATTCTAATGTTAATGTTTTTTTCAACATTTAACCACAAATGATCTAAACTTTAGGCATAAATTATTAAATTTAAAATTTATTCATTAAAGAACTTTGTTCTCATATGGATTTAGACATTTAAGTTTAAAAATTCTACGAATTGTAGAAAAAAAATATTAAGAAATTTATAAATAAATCTTTAAAAGACTAGAGTTTGTTTGTTGAGAAAAAAAAAATATATATATGAATTATGCATAAATAAATGTTTATTAATATAATAAAACAAATAAACTTTTTTTTTGAAAAAAAAGACCAGTTTCAAAATGACAAACAAATATTTGAAAAAAATGACAATAAAACTCAATAAAATCAAATTATTGACATAAATTAAGAAAAATATAAATTTAAACAAGAGAAATAAATATTAACAAAAAAAAGAACTAATAAAATAAAACAATAAAAAAAACTAATGACTAATTATTTAGAATTTTAAGTTTTAAAAATGAAACCTAAAGAATTGATATGTTTAGATATAGTTTTCAAAAAATATTGAAAAACAAACTGATTCATATATTTTCTTATAACATCATTAGTCTAGCTTCAGTTGAACTCCCACTTTTGATGTTAAAAATAAAATTTTCTTTTTTATTACACTTTATTTTACATATTTTCAACTATTGTAATTTGATTTAATAATTTTTTCAAGTGTAGGAGTAATTAAATGATGCACAGACAGCAGAGAACGGCTGGCATAAGCAATAGGGGCCGCAAAAAAACTAATGATTCACTTATAAACAACTCTAATATCAATGAACTTTATAAAATTCCCTATACACGACTCTCAGTTTACAAGTTAACAAGTTTAAGTCATAATCTCTTCCTGCCGTTCCCTGCTAAACATCAATATTCATTCATTGTCTTTTAAAATAATTTCAAACAACGACTGCTCATTATTATGATTACAATTCCTCACATTTTAAAATATGAGCTAATAATTGCCGTGTTGGAAATCTTGGTTGGTTACTCAGTAATTGTCATTTCACTTCACTTTGATGGACGACATTTAAACCGAGCTTTTCAAACGGATCTAACACACTATGCATAAGTATTTGAAAACAGGGGGAATATGTATGAATCATGTCATCACTGTTAATATAATTAAAAACTCGTTATTATTTTATACAAAACTCTAAAAAAAAAAACTTCTTGAAGTGTTAAACGGAAATTGAGGAATTTTTTTAATTTCTAAATGCGGAAGACTTACAACAAATATATAATAATAAGAATTAGTTATTAAGAATAGTTATTAGTAAAAGTAAACAATTACTTATATGTAAAATTTTGCAAAAGCCGGCGCTAAAACTGCGAATGTGGTTATTTTTAGTAGACATTACAAATATTTAAACTATAGCTGTGTATTCGTAATAGAGCATTATTCAAATCACAACGTTTTCAGATTGCAGTATATATCTACATACATTCATATGTATTCCATAATACAGACTATAGTCACGACTATAAAACAAACTATAGACTGGACTCTAGACTAGAATATAGTACAAACCAAAGACTAGAATATAGTCCTCACTACTGACTGCAGTATAGTTCAGAGACTAAACAATAATCCAGGCTATTAACTACACCACAGTCCAGGCTATAAATTACACTATAGTCCAGACTATCAACTAAACAGTTTGTGATGGCTAAAATGTAGATTACAGTCCAGACTATAGTCCAAACAACAGACTATGGACTAGAGAATAGATTTAAACAAGACTATAATCTAAAATACAGGCTATGGACTACAGAATAGAGTTAAAGTTCAGACCATAGACTAGTCCAAACTACAAACTAGACTATAGACTAGGAC